AGGGCAGCCCAATGCATGAGGGTCCCGTCAATACGGGGTTTGGGGAGGGACAGATGTACGCAGCCTTACCCCTACATATACAGATGGAACAGGTAATTTGGAATCCAAGGCAGACATAATTAAAATAATCATTTTTCTGTTAAATTTCAAAGGAATAAAGGCATTCAGATATTAACTATTCAATGCATAAGTGGTAAAAATAAGTATTTGTCTTTTCTTTAGAAAAAAAACTATATATATATTTATTTATTTTCATATATCTATATTTTGTTATGTAGTAAATATAATTTAAATAGTTAAATATTCAATCATATTATTTTGAAAAAAAAATTGAAAGCTACGGTTTTATGCACTATTTCATTACATCTTCATGAGATCTTTCACTTCTTATAAGCTACAATTCAATAAAGCATTAATAACTTCAGACTTAGTAAACAGAAGTTTCTGAGTTCTGACAACATTTAAATATATTGGAAAATTTCATATTTGCATTGATTAAATCCTGAGAACTAGATCCATGAATGTAATCTGTAGTAATGTATGAAATAATAGCCATGTTAGAGAATAAAAATAGATTGAGAGACCTCAGTTAACAGTTTAAGCTTTTAGATTGACCAGTTCCTTAAGATGGTATTAGAGCCTGTTTGATCAAGTGATCTAGTGTTTGATCCTCGTATTACTTTCATTATATATAATTAAATTCCAGTACAAGGTATGAGTGTACCTATGGGTGGGGACCGGAAACTAAATCAGTTGGTCAATCAGTACAAGACTTTGATACTTTGATACTTGAGTCTTTTGAAGTTTGAACAGGAGCAAAACTTTGAAAATCCCTTCAGATCCCAAAATTAGAACCTTAAGCTTCAGATTGCCTTGCCCCTATAAAAAGAGATACAAATGCAGTTAAGGGAGGAGTCAAAGCCCACAACCAGCGGTGCAATGAATTATCCAAATCGGACAATGACAATGCATTAATTTGTTGTTTGTCACCAGCAACAAATAAACACCGTCGTACCAAACACCGTCCAATATTCCTGTGTTGGATGGGCAATATCTGACTCTACTCCAGGATGAAGCCCACTACAGAGCCCAATAAGACATTTAGCTAATTTCCATTTCAGAAAATAAAGCTCATTAAGAAAAACAAATGTGAAAAAATGGATCACCAAACTTCAGATTCCAGGATTATCGTGAAACTCAGGGAGATTCCAAAATGCAAATATTTTCTTCACTCAATAATAGGACCCCAGTTTTTATGAAATGGGCCAACCGAGGGGTGGCTCGGTTGGTATGTTAGCTGATTTGTTTCATTAGAGATGCGATTCGATACCCACAATCACAGAGAGGGGAGTATTAGGGCCTATTTGTTTGCTTTAAAGTATGGCATCTGAAAATGCAATAATTACATTAAGAGGTATATTGGTATTGGTGAATTTTTCTTTCCTCTAAATTTTGAATGCAAATAATATTTTTTCTTAATTTTGAAAATTATCAAATATTCATTTTGACCCCATACATGAGAGTTTTTGTTTGTCTTTTTAGGGTATTATTGGAAAACAAAAAATATATAATTATACTTTAAGAGATAAGAAATAAGAGATAAGAGGAAACAAACAACTATTTTTTCTCTTAAAGTTAAAAGATTTCTCTTAAGAAATAAGAATTAAGAGGAAACGAATTGTGCTATTCAAACGGTCCCTACGAGAGATTCGGGCGTATCACCAAGATACTAAGAAAAAGTTTCCGTAAAATGGCACCACAAAAAAAGTGTCTACATCAGCAAATACCACCCTAGAATCATGGTAATAGAGAGGCTTTGGCATATCTGCAACAGCTACTGTAAAGTATGTGCAAACAGTGGGTTGCCTTTTTCAAGCTCTTTTGCGACACCAATACATTGAACCTTACTACTAATAGTCATGGTGACGGAGGTGCAACCTACTTTGAGTGGGTAAGGTGGACAGTCTTGGTGAATGGTGATAGCAAGTTGTTCAAACTGGGACCTGGGACTAGACAGAACTAGAATGCTCCCTAGGATCAAGGTCTCACGGATGGCTAAGGTTTGGTAGGAAGTAACTAGAGGTCATGATATGGGTATATTCAGCTTAGAGGACTGGTTTTATTTATTTATTTTTTTTTCGGGTTTATCAGGTTGGCTTGAATTATCATTTTACATTATTTTAAACTTGGGTTTTGAGTTGGATCCATTCAAATTTGAACAAAATACCAAATCGAACCTATCCAAATTGCACCCCTAGGGGGTAGCCCATCCCCAAACCCATCTCCGCTACAAGAAGCCAGAGATCATAGAGCCACCATCAGTTGGCTAGAGGATTGAATTATGAATCCATATTTAATATTTTCCAAGTGGTTCTGAATTAATTTGCCTGCTCTTGTTGGGTTGAGTCATCGATTTTAGGGGCAAAATAGATATGGACATGTGCATGGTTCCAAGGTTCAAAATATCAATACAGGCTAATACGTCAGTATCTTTGCTCGTTTTTATTTTGTATTTTAGTTTTTCTTTGAAACTGGTTCAGAGGGATTGATTTTTAAGATCCCCATCTACCCCTGAACCAGGTTAAACCCCGAAACACCTCCTATAGGGGCATATTGGGAAGCCACTGATACGTATTGAAATTTTGAATCTTGCATGATTCACAAGTATCAGTACAATATGCAAAAAGTGTATTTATATATTGTAAATTTTCAAACTTTGATATATATATATATATATATATATATATATATTTTCAGTTTAATGTTTTCATAGTAGATATGTTAAGAGGGATTCTGCCATTTAAACCTATAGATCCCCTGATTCCTATATTTAACATTTTGATAACATTGAAAATCGATACACATCATATGATAAGCTGACACATACTAATAGCTTGAACCTCAGATGTCTGGATGGTCACAACTAAGCACAGCAAGTCAATTAGGAAGAGGACACTAGCTTATATTCTTACTGTTTATATATTATTTTACTTGGTTCTTATTTTGGGTGAATTACAAATAGGCTACATGTGGATTTCAACTGTTATAAATACCCACCCTAGATTTTTAGAATTACTCTATAATTACCTCAAGTTTTTTGATAATTACAGTCTACAGATACCCTCGCTTTGTGAAACAGCATGTTGTAATAATGTTCGGACTTTATGATAACAATTTTATCAACATATGGTTCCTTCAGCCCTTTTTGAGGATTAAAACCCTTTGATGATATATGAATTGGGGCATACTTGGTATTTGAGAATCAGGATTCAATATATAGCTTCAATTTTAGGGGTATTTATGTCATTGTGCATTTTTCACTAAAGTTGTCTCCTGAACAGAGTGGTAACCCTAGGTGGGGTATGCAATTCACCCATTTTTTAATTTCTTCTTTATATGTGTAGTGGACATGGTACCTGCAACACTCTTTATTACTTATTTATTTAATTGGTTCTGTCTGGATAGGTGTATGCTAGAAAATCCAGTACAAGATTTCTGTCTGGTTACGTTTGATTTGAAACTTTGGGAGACTTTAGGAGTAATTAATTTAATCATGTTGATGCATGAGAAGTCAGACACTCAGTTGGTTGATGGATAGAGCTCCAGCACCTTCCCCAATAACGTTTGCTGTGTAAGAGATATCCTAGTTTCTGTTTCTAGACCTCTTTAGGAAGGTCAGCAGTCGGCTAGATGTCCGAGAGACAGTAGTTGTCCTGGACCTAAGCTGAAATGAGCTTTTCCTGCAAGGGTTGCGTTGCGAGATGCCTAAAATAAGCTAACCTAAGAGGAGATTACTATCTAGATACCTACCCAAAACGTACAAAAATCCTAGCTTCATCTGCAACAAGATTCTAAAGATGAACAGAGACTGCTGAAGAAGTCAAGAGATTTCACTGCAGGTTGTACTGTGGGAAGATGAAAGCTCTATCAATGAATAGAAGAAAACTCTAATGGTGATGGTGTTTACTAGATTTTACTGCAGAAGGTACGGACAAAGTATTAACAATGCTCTCTGCTTCTTTGAAAAACATTTACCACTTCAACTCTTTGAGAAGCAAATCCGGATCCCCTTTGAGTTTGAGGACTGAAGTCCCCACTTCCCCCTCAGAACTTTTGATCCGCATGGGACTGCTACTTTGGTTTTGCCATGGTTCAACCATTTGTTTAATACAACACATACACCTAGAGAATCATGTGAGAAAATATCCCCACTTTTGTTATCAACTTTGAAAATTGAAATTACATCTTCTTTTTTTGTTACCCAATAAAAAGGCAACACTGTATTATATTATATATAAAAAAGAAAAATAAAAGGTTTCTAGTGAGGTCAGCTCAGGTAGGCTTTTTCCTTTTTGACACAGCCAATTAGGCTTCGTTTCCAAACCACCCGACTACCAACCCATGCCCTCATTATAATATTAGGATTCTTTTGCCAGGAGATATTAAAAAGCATGTATTTACATTTTTTTTTTAAATCTACCCTACATACAAAAACATTGATACAATGATACCCTTGACAAGAATAGGTGGTAAGGCCAAACCGGGGCACATGGGCCCAAAATCGAAAAATGGATATTAGTTGATGGCCTCAACTATCTCATAGACATGACTAGATTAACGTAACCCAATGAGCTAGGTTCAGTTGGCTAACGTGTCAACAGGCAGGTTATTTGTTTCTTGAAGGAATCAGGATGTTTCGATCCCAAGTAAAGGTGAATCCCTTGGGGCAATTGGTTGCAGAGGAAAATTTTGTTCAAATTCTTAAAATGCTGGAACGACCCCTCCCCAAATTTTGTTTAGAAATCCAACTTAGCTAGTGGACATATCCTCTGAAATGCCATGCTAAAACCACAGCGAATCCATTTTATTGCAGGCCAGAAAAAGACAGGAAAAGAAAAATTCAAAAACAGGTCGAATGTTAGTCATCTTAAAATCCTTGGAATGTTTTGGGGACGGACAGATATGCGTTAGTAATCTTACAGTCTTTTGCCACGAGGCAGTTCTGTTAAGCACACAAACCATTTGAACTGCATAACATGACATACAGTGATGCGTTCTTTGGCTGAGTTTGCCTTCGGCACCTAGTAAGGTCAAACTGCAACAGATCATCTCTTTCAAGTATTACATCATCATTGAGAAATGGCTGCAGATGATAATACAAATGGCCCCGGAAAGATTCATATTCACAGACGTGATGAATTTCACTTTTGGATACAGGATGCGCTTACAAAAGACTGACAAGATGGTAAGAAAGGTGAAGAAAAAAAATATCAAAAAAAGTGGTAAATAATTTCCTTCTTCTTTACTTTGGTCCTGATAAGGTCATCTTGGACCAGACAATTCGACAGGATGAAGGTTTTCCGTGGAATCAACTATCCATTCCGAGTTCCGATGGGGTGCAAAATCAACCTCCTGGCGGACCACCTCCACTTTCTGCCACTCCTCCCACCTCTCTGCCAAGCCATCGCCTTCAAGCATTCTCACCACCTCTGACATCTTGGGCCGGTCCATTGGGGAGCCTTGCGTACAAAGCAATGCTACTTGGATCAGCTGCTCCACTTCCCCTTCAATATAGTTATTCTTCAGATCAGGATCAACCAGCATGTCCAACTTCTTCTCTTTCAGAAGTCCTTTTACCTGAAAAAAAAAATTTGCACAGATGTATCAAGGAGTGAAAAGATGATTCTTTCGTTATCCAACTACTGGACTACATGTTTTCTGTGATCGAATACATGTGTAAGCCAGCTCATACTTGGAATAGCACTGAAATGAAGTAGTGATGATTGCAATATATAAAAATAAACCTATTTTACCATAAATGCTAGACATGCACATAACCCAATGCCATTGAATACAAAAAGAGAACTCAAGTTGAACAATTCTTTCTCACAAAACTTGATTATGACCAATACTTGGTTATTACCGAATGAAAAAAAAAGGTCATCAGTGTGGGCAGACATTTTACTTCCAGTCTCGGGCCTAAGTGCTCAAAAAATGCTTATACCACATGGACCTCTTCTTTTAATTCTTGATAATAAAGGGTCTATCATCTGCATATCTATTGTCTTAAATGGTTAAACCAAATCTCCTTCAATTCCTACGAGCCATCCAGCACAGAATAGGAGAACTGTACAAAGAGGGAAGCTACTAGAAAGTAGAAACCAACCAAAAACAAAATACGCCAGTGTGAATTACATTTGAAGCTGTAAAATTAGGATTTCAGAATTTAATCAGCAGAGTGTAACTAATATAACTGAACCCTAATAGCCAATTTAATATAATGGTTAAAATAAGTTTTCCAAAATGATATATTTGGCATGAGAATCGTATGTATAACTGAACCCTAATAGCCAATTTAATATAATGGTTAAAATAAGTTTTCCAAAATGATATATTTGGCATGACAATCGTATGTGCAGCAATAAATTTGTCGCAATCAGTAAATACATACCCAATCTAGCAACATGACATCATCATCATTTGCAAGCCGAGCAAGGTCAAAAGCCCTTTGTCCAGTGATGAGCTCTAGAAGCATAATTCCATAGCCAAAAACATCAGTCTTCTCTGATGACTTCCCTGTGGAAAGGTACTCGGGGGCTATGTGTCCAATTGTGCCCCGGACAGCAGTTGTAACATGGGTATCCTTGTAGTCCATAAGCTTAGCCAAACCAAAATCTCCTACAACAGCCTCAAACTCCTCATCTAATAATATATTTGCTGCTTTCACATCACGGTGGATGATCTTGGGATCACAATGATCATGCAAATATGAAAGCCCTCTTGCAGACCCTAAAGCAATACGCTTCCGTGTTGCCCATTCAAGTGGTGGGTCTGATGGTGGACGTTCTACAAAAAATGCATCAATTATTCAATAAACAATTATGAATGTACAAATTCACCATCCATTCGAAATAACCAAACCAAACCATACTATAGAGAAAGGGAGGGAGGGAACACAAAAATAAATCAAGGAGAAATCAATAAGAAGCATGCAAAAGGAATAGCATGGAACCTCTTAAGCATGAAGCAACACTTCCATTGGCCATATAGGGGTAGACAAGTAAGCGTTCAGTTGGTGTCATGCAAAAACCACGTAACCGGAGGAGGTTTCTATGAACAGCCATACTGATCATCTCTACTTCTGTCTGAAACTGTAGCTCCCCACCTGGTGTGCGCTCTTCTTTTAGACGTTTCACGGCAACTAATGAACCATCAGCAAGGCGTCCCTTGTACACCTTACCAAATCCACCTCTACCAAGAATGTTTTTGTTGCTAAAGCCATCAGTAGCAACTTGCAGTTCTCGTAGTGAAAACCTTTTGAGCTGGCCCAGATGAACTTCTGGATCCTCCTCAGCTGCAAAAGATGTAAACAAGTTTATAGTATGTTCAAGAAATATGTTCAACTTACTTTTATGGTCAAATCACTAACCAGGAACATCAAAGAAATGTTCTTGTGGTTTCCGTCTACGCCACCATGCAAACCCAATGGCAGGGGCAGCAAACAGTAAAGCTGCACCAGCAGCCACTCCTCCAGCAATTGCCCCAGTTGCACTATTTCCTCCTGAAATAAAATTCAACAAATGAACTTGGTCTCACATTCAAACTGGATGACTAAAATCTGTTGTGCCCCAGAGAGAGAGAGAGAGACCTGGAGAAGAGGCAGGTGGTGGTGGAACAAATGGAGGTGGTGGTGAAAATGGAGGAGATCCTGGGCAAGGTTTTCCAGTAACCGGGCCACAGAGACCTTTATTATTAGCAAAACTGCAAATTAGGAAATAAATAGAAGTCAATATAACACAATCAGAAAATATTGATACACCTCAAAATTATATCAGCCCCAAACCTGATGGGAGTGAACAGTGAAAACGATCCATTGTCTGGAACAGGTCCTGACAGATCGTTGTTGGAAAGATCCCTGATAGTTCACATTGCAAAATATTAACAAGATATCCTTCTGAACAAGAACATGCCAGAAACAAGAAAGAAAGATCAAGCTTTAGATTGAAAGAAAAAGAGGTTGGTTAAGAACATACAGGACTTGTAGTGCACTGACATTGGTCAAGGACATTGGAATCTGACCCGTCAAACTGTTATTGTTAAGACGGCTATCCTTGCAAAGACATTCCAAAGAACACAATATTGAGTTTCAAATTATTACAATGTATTACAAAGACGAAAATAATTAGACAATCACAGAGACATATTACTTAAGACTGTTTGACCACTGGGATAGACCCAGGACTTGCAACCAGCAAAAAATCATGACATGCTCTAAGTTCTCTATTTTTCTTGGAAATGATATTTTAATCAAAACCCTATTGCTGGACCATTTTATTGGCCGTTGATATCTCAATACAAAAAACACGCATGCTTTGCAAGAAAAAGGAAGAAGATATATGCCATCTTTTCATTCCTTGAAAGCTCTTAATGGAAGCTTAGTGTTAATCACTTTTGGGTCTTTGGGGTCAATAGAGTGATTTGCCAATATCTAAATTGGCCGTGGAAGTAATGCCTTGGAATTGGAGGGTGAAAAAAGCCCAATGGTTTTTGTAGCATCAGGTTTCGATAAAATGTTTTTATGATGTCAAACGGTTTAATCTGTTTTGCCTTCAAATTCTTTACCCTGGGAGCATTCCTGAAATTGCATGACCTTGACTACGGCAATATGTATGCTTTTCTATACTGTTTACAGAGCTGTTTGTCATCATTCTGTTCATCTCATTAAAAACAATTTCTAAATGTTAGAGAGATAACCTTCTATTTTCTAGGAGATATTGAAGACAATACCATCAGTTTATCAGTAAAATCTGTTGTGGAACCATATTGAATTTCTCTCAGAAGTCGGTCTTCCAAATTTGACTTTGATGGTAATGAATTGACAGAAGGGACCATGAAAATGACGAATATACTTGATGTTATTAACTAATCTTCCGTCACAATTTAACTCTGGAGCACCCAACAAATCACAGAAATTCTGGGGATTTTTAAATTTTGAATTTAATATGTAATAATTGTCCAACTCCTAAAACAAGCATTCTCTTCTCTGAATCTAAAAGTAATAATTCTAAAATAACCCTCTTGGTAACAATTTTTTTAATAACATTGCTCTTCAGTATTAATAATTCTACACAACAACAAAAATGATTTGTAATTTGATATGTGAAAATCAAAGAACTACCTTCTGCCTAGTAGGAAACCTATAAAACGAAGGATGCCAACTGAAATGAACAAGCAGAAAAAGAAACAATTTTAGAAATAATCATTCACAAGAATAAGTTGAAGGATGATCATTCTTACAGGAAACGAAGCTTTGTGAGCTTCCCCAATGAGTCTGGAATGGAGCCACTGAAATTGTTCAAGTAAAGATCCAAGCTCACCAAATTTGTCAAATTACCAAGGTCACTTGGGATTGATCCACTTATATTATTACTGTAAAGTTCCCTGTCATACATAAATTGATTTCAATGATTTGAACATCAAAAAGTTTTGCAGCAATACAATGAAACCCTCTGGCTAAAAAAGGCAAACTATCCAGTTATCCACATAGTATAACATAATTATATCAGTTTCTGTACTTCAAACAATTACTGCTACAAAACCAGCCTAGCAAGGCCTTATCCCAACAATTTAGGCTGGTTATTAAAATCCTGTTTCACCATTCTACTATATTTCTTTTTGGTACCAGTAACTGAAATTTTTATTAATTATATGAAAAAGAATAGTGTTTATACAGAATGTACCTAGCACTATATTCTCTGTCAAGTTGTGGATCCTTATCATCTCTGAAGCGGTGCTTAAAAAACTTACCACCATTATATCCAAAATTAGCTACAACAGGTCCACAACACAGCAAAACATGCACAAGGACAAGGCCACATTTTCTGATTCTAAAATCTGATGGATGGGGTATGCCCCCATGCATTTGCTGATTCAACCAGCATAAATTAGTAATTTATACTGTCACAAGATTTGGCAGCTAGGATGGGGTATGCCCCCAAGGCGAGGCTAGGCAATTGGGGGGTGCCTTGTCGCCTAGGCGATGGATTTTTTTATGTTAAAAACATAGATCCTAGGGTAGTTCCCTAGGTACCATAACCATATTTCTTTAATAATTATTCATGATTTTCATAAGAAAAGTCTAAATTTCATATTAAAGTACAGAAAATCAACATATTCATGAGAAGAAAAGGAAGAAGGAAAATAAAATTCAAAAAATATAGGGGCTGAAC